GGGGAGACGCCAGCCCGGCGCCCCGGCTCAGTTGCTCAGGCAGCCGCAGCATCCGCGTCCCCGTGCCCGTGCCCGTGCCCGTTGTGCTCCGCTCTGCTCTGCTCTGTCTCCCTGCGAAGATGGCAACCGAGGGGCTGCACGAGAACGAGACCCTGGCGTCGCTGAAGAGCGAGGCGGAGAGCCTGAAGGGCAAGCTGGAGGAGGAGCGGGCCAAGCTGCACGACGTGGAGCGTGAGTGCCCGCGGCGGGGTGCGGAGGGGGGTGCCAGGCCCCGCCCGGGCCGGGGGTGCGGGAGTCCCGGCCCCGGAGCCGAGCGGCGCTGGGTGTCGCAGCCGGGAAGCTGGGGTGTTCCCACAGCAGGGCACCGCCTTGGGGGAGCATGAAGCGGTTTCTGCGCGGATTGCATCCCGGGCGGGGAGGGCTGGGGCTGGGGCTGGGCCTGGCAGGGGCACTCCTGGGAAACAGGCGGCCTGGCTGCACAAGCAGGTGCCGCCCTGGCCTCCCTGCTCCACCCGGGAAGGCCGAGGCCTCCGTGGGCCCAGCGCCAGCCCGTCAGCCCATGGCGACCCTGTCCTGTCCTGTCCAGCACCGCTCCTCGGCCGCTCCCCTCGGCCTCGACCCGCAGCCCCGGGGGATGTCGCTGGAAGGCGCCGCATGCCTTGTTTTGGTGACAGAGACGTCACACGATTTGCTGAATTTCTTTGCGGGTGGCTTGTGTTTCCACCCCTTGTTTTCCCTGACGGCATGCATGACTTCTAGGGGGGCATTGCCCTGGAAAGGCTCCACTCTGGTTTTATCAATTCAGTTCTGCTTCAATTTGGCTGCTTAAATTATTCCCATTGACTATTTATATTAAATTAAAATGGCTCTTCCTTTTTTTGCATGCTTTTTAAAATGATGCAATCCATTTTCTTTGCCCTGATAAAATTAAGTGTTGGGTCCGTCCCCCCCTGTCGGTCCCTCCTCCACCCCCCCCCCCCCCTCCCATGCTTTATGGTGTTGCCCTTATTCAATTTTGTTTTGAACTGCAGCTCTGAGACTGTGGCCTGCACATTTTGAAGGATTTAATCCATCATTTAAAAGTTTTGATTAAAAATATGAGCACTCGTGTCATCTCTGATCCATTGTTTTTTAACGTTGAAGAGACCGTTATGATCTTCCAGTCCATGCGGGGCACAGGCAGCGTCTGTGTGTGGCATGCAGTAGATTGGGAAGGGGACAGGCAGCACAGGAGTGGATAGGGCAGGGAACAAAAAGAGCATCAGATCAGGCAGGAGCAAAGGGCAGGACACGGAATGAGTAGCAAATTGGTCAGCAGATCAGGAACAGGACTTTTAGAGAGTGTAGACCTAATTTGTGGCATGCCTGCCAAAAAGGTTGACCCCCACTGTTTTAGTCTAACCTCCAGTATAAGAAAAGACAAAGAACCTCACTTAGTAATTTCAGGATCAGGCTTATAATATCTACATGAATTACAGCATGCCTTGTATAAAGAGATCCAGTCTTATTTGGAACACTCTAAGCCAGGGGTGGGCAAAATGCGGCCTGCGGGCCATTCTATCCGCGCTGCAGGGCCCCTAAAAATTTAGAAAATTAATATTTATCTGCCCCTGGCTGCCTGTCATGCAGCCCTTGATTGCTTGCCAAAACTCAGTAAACACCCCTCCACCCAAAATAATTGCTCCCCCCCTGCTCTAGGCCCAAGTCTGCAACCTTTACTGGTGCCTTGTTGAGTACAGAGGAGCTACTTGCCTGGGTAAGAGTTGTAGATTATGGGTCTAATCCTACATCATTGCACGTGCTGGGAACACTTCAGAATTATTCTTTGATTATGAAACGTAGGAAGCTGCTGAGTTTTGTTTTGGGGTGGGCATCTGCCGAATCTAGGTTGCACTGATAGATGCAACTGCTTAGGCTGTAAAAAAAAAAAAAAAAAAAAAAGGGGGGGGGGGGGGGAACAACACTTTTCTGATAAGGTCTGGATACAAGAATTTCAGTCTGCTTTTTGTGTTGCTGTTACCGTCCCCAGTGCTTGTTTTCTGACTGGATTTTTTTCGCATGCGAACGGATCACTTGATAGGTTTCATTTCCCATGATAGGTGGAAAACATAGTTTTTCCTTATTTGGCTTTGTCAGTACTTTTTGAGAAGGCTGGTCTGCTTTTAACCCTTACTAAAGATCATTTTATAATGGACAAATTGTCAGGAATAAGACAGTGATATAGTTCCCTTACTATGGGAGGTATGTCCCTGGAAGGGGCAACATTTGTAGCTAAAAGCATTATTTTGGCACAGTTGTAAGGCTGATGTTTTTGAAGGATGATTATTGCAAAGCTAATCCATTTGACATCAGTCTCAGACTTAGAGGGGCAGAAATTGCTCGCCTGACCCTGAGCCAAGGAGTCATCTCAGATGTGGTAAGGATGCCCCACCCGCAGCCAGAACAGCCCTTTTTAGCACACAGGTATTCTCAGAGTTGCTTTCAAAAAGGGCAGTCATTTTAGCTGTGAGTTTTGGGAAGCAGAGGTCAAGAGCTGTGTAAATTAATCATGTAGACTCTGTTTTAGGGCTTGTTCCTGTGAGGTACTGAGTTAACTACCTTTTTTCAATGCCAGTTGTAGCTATCCAGTGCAACCACAGGAATAGGACCCAGAATCTCCTGCTTCTAAGTGTTAGCTTTGCCACTTGAGCTAAAGGCCCAATCCAAAACTCCATGAGAGTTAGTGGAGGCCTTTCCAGTGACCCCAGGTTTAGATCAGGCTTTGCCTCCTGTAGCTAATTATTAGCAGCTATATCCTCATACCTGCTGCCATTGAACACCTGTAAGGGTTCCCTGCAGGTGTACTTGGCTGAAATACATCAGCACCTCTCTGGGTTAGGCCTTTGTTTTTCTTTTTTAATTTTGAGAACCAGGTCCTGGGGCTGCTGCTGAGGCTCTCTTCTCCCCTAGCTCTACCTTCTGCCTTGAGAGGCAGCTGCATTGTGCCCATGCTGCATGTTAGATGAGCTAAAGCTTTTAGAGGTCCTGGCTCCAGTTCATCCCCTTTGCTGCCTTTTGTGCTGAGCCCTCCACTGTGGTTTGAAAGAAGCAGCAGGTCCCTGCTCAGCCTCTCACAGAATGAACAAGCTTTCTGCAGTAACTGTTGCTTCTCCCCCTCTCCTCCTCCCCCAAGTCCCACAGACAGACCTGGCTCCAGCATAATGATTGTTAGTGGATTTCACATCCAGGTGCTTTTCCATAGTTATTGTTCCACTGTTATAAACCTAGGTTTATTTTTATAAACAGTAGCTGATAAAATAAACTTATACACAAGGAAAGCTAGTTTCTGTTCTATCTGAAGGGGTTTGCTTTGGGCCCCTCAGAATGAACACAAACTGCTTTGAATCATCCCTTTTTAGAAAGAAGCCCATGCTGTGATCCCAGTGCATTCAGGTGCAGTGCAGTGAGATCCTTTACAAGGATGCAGGTTCATATCATTAGACATGGATTGGGGTCTGTGAGATTGGGGTTCTATACCTTGCCCTGCTGGAAGACATCAGGCAAGTCACTTTCTCTTCCTATAATTTCAGTTTCTTCATCTTTAAAATGAGGAAAAGGACCCTGACCTCATTTGTAAAGTGTTCCAAGACCTATTGCTGAAAAGCTATATAGAAAAGTGAAGTATTATTATTGTTGTTCTGTTACCCAAACAGTTCAGCCACTCAGCTCAGCCAAGGCTATATCCTGCCAGCACCTGGCACACAGACCTCTGATGGGAAAGCTGTAGGCAGATCAAATGCCCTGTCTGGCTAAAATCCAGCACTCATCACAGTAGAGTTCTGATGCTCATCCCTTTTCTATCTGCCTTTTCCCCACTATACTCCATGTGGTAGCAACAGCCCCTCGAAATTGAGGGAACTGCTAATAAATAGACATGCTTGTATCAGTAAATCCGTTAGCTTTGGTAGGTTTGTTTTAACTGCAGAATTAACCTGGGCCCTTTGGTCTGTTTTAAGTACAAATCTCTGTACCGTCCATGCACAAAAATGCCTGATTTGGGTTTGGAAATGCTTGAAGTGCAGACATTGCTAGGCTCAGTTTAATTCAGCCTGTAATCAACCCAAAAATTGCTCAGATGTCAAGGGAAGTTGTAGAGGTTTCGTTGGAGGTTTCAGGAACAGGCTGGATAAGCATCTGGCTGGGCTGGTTTACAAACAAAGAATCCTCCTTCTGTGTAGGGGATAGCAAACTTTTGAGGCCTCTTCCAGTCCTCTGATCCTCCAGTCATCATCCATCAGAAGAAATCATAAGAAGAGCAAGTTCTGCAGTGGCTGACAGTTGAATAGGGAAAAGTCCTAGAGCTTCTCAGTGGAAGGAGCCATGGGATAGCTCCTTAGACACACAAGCACTATAACTGAGGACACAAATATTGGAGAGTAGCTTTTCTCTGGGCAAGCTCTCACTCAGGCTAGGTTACCCCAGGTGCTCAGACCCGAGTGCCTGGCTGTTCATGTAAGGAGAGCAGATTTGGGGCTAACCCCACCGGCATGAAAGGAACCGAGTGAGGGTTTGGCCTCATGGCATTAAATCACAGTGTAGCTAAAATGTTCATTTGGGTTTTCCATTACATTCCCAAGTTTGCACATTTTTGTAAAACAAAACCAAACCACCCATTTTTAAAACAAACTGAAGGAAGCCACACAATAGATATCAGTAGCATTAACGTGAATAAAGAGCTATCAAGCCCCCTTAATAAATACTGTGCTTGATTTGATGTAGTAACATTTTGGCTTAATATAATGTGTTTATATTATCAAACAAAAAACATCAGCATCTCTACTTTCTGAGAATGACAGTTCCATAATCATTGCAGACAAAGCACTGTACTAATAAGTTAGATCTTCAAAATCTAATGATGTTTCATGCAGTTTTTCAATTTTTTACTAAAATTTCGACAAAAGTTAGGTCCAAATTAATACAGGTGATTTTTTTGTGGGTTAAATAGAAACACAAAACTGCAGTGGCAGATAGGCAGGATTCCCTCAGACATTTCTTCTGTTTCTAAGAACTGTTTTAGGCAAAGAATACTGTATCTGTGGTATATACACACGGTGGTTTGATTTCCTTTAAATGATCTCAAGATCTGATCTAGCAAACATGTACAGGACTGACTGCTCACTGCATTGTGCTTCTTGGAATTCTGTAAATAAAGCTACTTATGGCATAAGTGTTTGCAGGATCAGGAGTTAATATGGAGTGAATATTTGGGAGTAACTGATAGTTAATTCTCTGCAGTTCATCAGGTGGCAGACCGTGTGGAGGCATTGGGTCAGTTTGTGATGAAGACCAGAAGGACTCTGAAAGGCCATGGTAACAAAGTCCTCTGCATGGACTGGTGTAAAGACAAAAGAAGAATTGTGAGCTCTTCCCAGGTAAGGAAATGTGTTAGGAGCTTTTCAAAGTCACTGATGGGCGTTGTGCGGTTCTGACAGCTATAGTAGAGAACAGTAAATGGAAATAAAATGTATGGTTAATCTAAGCCTTTCATAATTAAGGCATTCACATGGCAACATATTTGTTAAGCACAAACCAGACTAATAAATAAAGAATAGAATTCTGTTGAGCATCATCACTACACTTGATGGAGGTAGTACTCTAAAAACCTCTTGACCCCCTTTTGTACAGAATTTTCAAGGGTCCTTTAGCACATTAGATATGCAATTTTATAGTAAGATTTCTTATCGTTTACACATACTATTCTGCAACGTCTCATGCTTATGATTTGCATTAGCATATAGAAAAAGAATTAGGATAGGGAGAAATGAAAAGTGCTGATTTTTTTTTTTCCTAGAAAAGTCCTGGTGCCACCTGGAACCATGAGATTCCTTGAGTTGTCCTTACATTTGATCTGACCTTAATAAATTTAACTTAGCTTGCTACAACTATTGCAAATGTTGGGGCATTTTGTGCTGTCTGTTCAAGAGCTATCTCCTATCATAAAACTGGTCTGAGTGAGAGATAATGAGATAAACACCCTTTATTACTTTTAGGTTGCTGGTTCGTAGTCAACCTAGAATGGTAGTGACTGGAATTTGTTACCAGTATATCTGGCAGCTTGTTACATCTGACCTGTGTGCATTGGCCTGTAGGAAATCAGTTGGTGTTCACAGTGTGGTGCCTAATACATAGAATTACGTATTTATATTGCAAGTTGCTGTCAGAGTTACTGCTAATTGGCTCTGTTCATAGTGATCTCTGCAAGGAGATTAAAGACTGAAAGTTTAATATGATATTTTTAAGTGGTAGATTATTAGTGTGTACAATTGAAAGAAAAGAAAGAGGCTCTAATTCACCTTAAAATATGTGTTCTGAAAAAAACCCTCAGTAATTCTGTGAACTGTGAATCATTTGGGGATTTCTGCTATTTCTCTTATAGGTAATTAAGGTCTGTGTTCTGTTTTAAACCACTTAGTTCATACTCATTTTGTATTTTATTAAACATTTATTTTGTGATAATAAGTCCAGATACAGTAAATAAACAATTTGCTTCTACCATGCAGAAAAGATGAAGAATATTATGTATATAAGCTAAATATAATGGGCAAAGACACGGTATGATTATATAGTGCACTACTGGCTATGTGTTCATGATTGCTATTTATAGATATCTTAAATGGGTGGCTGATGGTTCAATAAGAGTTCGGACTAGGAAGAAGAGAGGATAGGAGTAGGAAGGGGAAAATGGATAAACAGAGGGATGTGAAGAAGAGATGCAACTGCGCCTTGGTAGGTAGTAATTATGGCCTAGGATAGGTAAACTCAGGAGAGAAATAAAATAAAGGTTACTGTTTCCTGAGAAGATTTGACCTCCATGGTTAGTGTTGAGGAGAACTGTGTCCATTCCCTTAGCAAGGCACTGGAACATGGGGTGTGTTTCTCTATATAAGCCTTTTAGACATCATTTACTCATCAACATGAGAGGAATGGTGTAATTATCTCGCAACCAGAGAAATGCCAAGCTGAATTCAGTGGTGTCACTAATTTGGAGCAAACAGCATTGCAGCCAGTAGCAATGATGTAAAGGTGGTGCAGAAGTTAACAACAGTGTTTGCACAGATCTCTGTAATGTGGGACTCAAAATACTCTTGGTTTCTCTCTGTCTGCCTTTTAATTTAGGATGGGAAGGTGATCGTGTGGGATTCCTTTACTACCAATAAGGTAAGAAAAGTTCAAATCAAGTCTGTAGTTTCATTAAATCATAGAAAATTAGGGTTGGAAGGGACCTCAAGCAGGACCAGCCCCCAACTGTGTCATCTCAGCCAGAGCTTTGTCTATCCAGGTCTTAAAAACCTTCAAGGATTGAGATTCCACCATCTCTCTGGGTAACCTGTTCCAGTGCTTTACTACCCCCTTAGTGAGAAAATTCTTCCTAATATCTAACCTAAACTTCCCTTGCTGAAACTTGAGACTCCTTGTTCTGTCATCTCTCACCACTGAGAACAGTCTAGCTTCAAACTCTTTTGAACCCCCCTTCAGGCAGTTGAAAGCGGCTATTAAATCCCCTCTGTCTTTTATTCTCTAGACTAAATAAGCCCAGTTCCCTCAGCTTGTCCTCATAAGTCATGTGCCCCTGAACCACTTTTGTTGCCCTCCACTGGACTCTCTCCAATTTGTCCACATCCTTTCTGTAGTGGGGTGCCCAAAACTGAACACAGTAGTCCAGCTGTGGCCTCACCAGTGCAGAATAGAGGGGAATAATCACTTCTCTGGACCTACTGGTAATATGTCTGCCAATATAGTTTCTATATGCAAGGCCAAATTTTGGCTGCATTGCATGGTTTTGTGAGGTGGGACAGGGACACTTCCCACTCTGTTCTCTTCAATGCGTCAGAGCTGTGGTACTCATCAGCAGGGCGCTAAGTACTTGGACATGAGGATTTCCAGCATTCTGCTCCCTGGCTGGCCTGTGACTGTGTGCATGACCTGGGTGCAGAGCAGAGCTGGAGAAGTGCAGTCTTGGTGTTTGCCCCTGGCTGCTTTAGCCATTTTACCCCCAGATGCCCCAACCTCTAATGGGCCCCACATGCCCCTGCGACTCCTTCCTGGCCCCTTCCACTGCATCTCAGATCTACATAACCTTAGCGGAGGCTATGGGTAGTAAAAACAAGCATTGTCATGCTGCACTGGGAATCCAGAATGGGAATCTTTATTGCATTCTTGCAGGTACAATAAGTCTTACACAGTTGTTTGTGAGCAAATTGTAATAAAGCATGAATTTGATTAACTGCATTTGCAGATTAGCCTAGGGAAATGTATGACTTGATGTATTTCACTTGAATTTTGTTCTTCTAAAGCCTTTTGATTTCACAATAAAGGGTCCTTTTGAACTAAAGATCAGCTCTTTGGTGTTTAGTTTAAAGAGAAAAATGTATCGGCTCCGTTTCCTTTTTTCATTTTAATACAGTGAGTACTCCTAAGGGCACTTAAGCAATTTCAGCCTCATTACCATTGTTTTAACACAAATTAGCAATGTAGTAAAGAAATAAGGAATTGATGCTTGAGATATAAGGGACATGTTGTATTTCAGGAACATGCAGTGACAATGCCATGTACATGGGTGATGGCGTGTGCATATGCCCCGTCTGGATGTGCCATTGCTTGTGGGTAAGGATAAACTCTTGCAGCTTTGAACCTGGTGGATCTTTCTATGTAACTGAGCATGTCTGTGAGGTGCAGTGTAATTCCATGCAGAGATGCCCATAATATCTGTGAATGGGCTACCTCAGGTACTTGCAGTATATCTGTATTAGGGCAGCACTTCACTTGAGCTAGTACACCCTGCTTCATACCCAGGCTTATTTGTCCATGTGAAGCACTATACTGTTGCTGGTACCTGAACTACCTCAGGTATCACTGCATAGGACTGCAGTGTGTGTCATGGAAGTGATGCACCATAGGTCCCAAGGATATGTAGCGAGTGGAGATGCAACAAGATTTCAAAATGTACCTTTTTCCTTTCAGACGCACCTTGGAAACTGTGGGAAAGGGTGTGTTGCTTAATTGTTCTGTTGGGAGTTGGGGAGGAGCGGAGCAACAATCCAAAATGAAACTGAAGTTTATTAAAAAAAAATCTGCATATGTGACATTGTCTGTGCATCACTAGAGTTGGTTCATAGGCAGACAAGGTTCCTTGGGTGAATTTGATATCTTTTATTAGACCAACCCAAATAGTTGGAGAATATTTATTAAGCAAGCTTTCGGGTTCAAAAACCCATCGTCAGGCTAAGGAAGTTTCAGCAGTTGGTGTGTGCTCGTTGGTTCACAACTTTACAGATGCTGACAGTCAGATCACTGGGATCTTGTAGACAGCTAAAAAATAGCCAATGAGTCTGATTGTTTCCAAACTGGTTCACACTTGCATAACTCCATTGACTTCAGTGGAGGGACTTCTGATGTGCATCAGTAGGAGAGAAAAATTGAACCCAAAACAGGGCCTCTTCCAGCACCCCTGGGATCCAATGAGCATCTTTCTGTTGCTTTCACTGTCCAGTGGATTGGGGTTTTTTTGATCAGATGCAGGTTTGATATAGTCCATAATGCATCTTTTGATTACCTCATGACTATTCATATGAAGTGGCCATCTTCATGAATTCTTCTCAGTATGTACTATTAAATTGAAATCCCAGATCAGAGTCCCATTGTGTTGTACATTGTAGAAATCAGTCTTCTAGTGACTTGGGATCACTTATTGCCCTTGGCTTGTATTTGTAGCTGTCAAAGGGAACTGGACAGCATGTGTACATCTAGGGGACATAGGACCTTAATGCTGTACTAAGTTTTATGTGCCAACTTAGTACACAAAGAAACTGTTACTGCTGTTTTCTCATCATTAGATTGTAGAACTTCAGGTGTTAAATACTTACTCCAAAGAATGCTCTTTAGCACATGCAATCATTTAGAGCAGTGGTGCTCAACCTCTGGCCTCCCATCCAGATCTGGTCTGCAAAGCTTTGTCATCCAACCCAATGGACTCCCCATGGGTCTGGAAATTTGGCTGCAGGGGAGCAGTAGCGGTGTTAATTGGTTCCAGAGCCACAACAGTTAACACTGCTATTGCTCCTCCACCACCACTCCCCCACCATCATGTTTCCAGACACTGTGGCCACATCTGGTGCATGGAATAATGCCAGCACAGCAGATCACACCTGCAGACTGACCCTGTGCCGGATCCAACCTGCAGACTGGCCCCACACCACTCATTTGACCTGTGGAGCCAGATTGGTTGACCACCACTCTTTTAAAGCATCTGTCTCCAAGCAACTTAGGATTTGTTTGATTTCTTTTTTTTCATTCTGTAAATGTCTTTAACAGTGTCTTTTAAATAGCATCCTTACCTTAAAATTGAGATAAAAGACAGGTGGGGATTCCCTTGGCAAGGGGAATCCCAGATGCTGTCATACAGTGGAAATCTATACTTGTATGGGTTTTTGACATTGGAGAATTTTTAGGACATTTCATTCTTTTGTTTGCTTATCATCCCACATTTATTGTTGTTAGTGATTTAAGAGTGTTCTCTGTATCTTTTCTTTGCCATAGTGGCCTGGACAATAAGTGCTCTGTGTATCCACTGACATTTGACAAAAATGAAAATATGGCTGCAAAGAAGAAATCAGTTGCAATGCACACAAACTACCTGTCTGCCTGCAGCTTCACTAACTCGGACATGCAGGTAAATGCATTCACTTGCACGTTACTCAGGTATAATGCACAATCATGAGTTTCACTTGCCTTTGTCAGCATAAGGAGATGCAGATCACTCCTCCCTGCACCAGCAAGGGTCTCTGTGCCTCAGGAGGGGTATCCCATCTTGCACAGGGGAGATACCCCTGCTTTAAGAGGCAGCTTCTGACTCAGCTGGAAACTTCATAGGTGCTCTTACTGGCAGAGGCTATAACAAGGAGGATCTGCTGAAGCTGAACCCGTTGATCTGGCTGTCATTGACAGTAGCACTGCCTGGTCATTTGGAGACTCATTGGTGGGAGGGAAAGGTTACTGCACTGGTGTTCCGTGCACTTTCCATTGCAGGGGTCTGTGCCAGCTTGGGCTTTTATGAGCTGAAATAGAAGAGTAACACAGGAAATCTAACTGTAAAAACTCCATCACCCTCACAACCTGATTCAATTAGGACTAGGTTCCAGCTGCTTGGAACCATTTTTGTCCCATTTATTCTATATTCCTAGCCTGCTTTGCTATTGTGCTTATTGGTCTTTCCTCCTTATCTATTATTTAATTGAGGCCCCAGATTAGGGCCCCATCGTCTTGGGTATTATATGGCCACATGTCAGGAGTCAGTCAGTCTCCACCCCAGAATGAAAGACAAAGGAGTAGGTGAAAGGAAGTACCATTATCCTCATTTTAGAGATGGGGAACTGAAGGGCATAGAGATTTATAGGGTTTGCCCAAGGCTGTTTGGGGAATCTATGGAAAGAATATAAGAGAGGGAAAACAACAAATACTGTCCCAGTCTTCTGCATGCCAGCCTGCTGTATTAACCACAAAGGATCCTGCTTCTGTAATAGATAAACATCTAAAATATCCTACATCTACAAGAATGTGAAAACCTAGGAGCAATTGAAGAACCAAGATAATCCTCAACCCTAGTCTGTTTTTAGAATTTTAATTGATATTCTACACATTAGACTGCAGCAAAATAAATGGAGTAGAAAGTATTTTCATTGTAGAAGCTGAATAGAAAGGCATATTTTACTTTCCTCCTTTTAAGATATTTACAGCTCTTACTAAGGGAATATCAGGTATGATTGCTTCTATTTCAAGACATGAGATATCCAAGAGTAAGCAGTTATTTGCTATTCTGTGGTTTCAGAAATGAATCTGAGATGCTGATTCAAGTCTATTGCCATGGAAACAGAAGGAAGTCAAGGATCTACCCACAGTGCTCCAGAGTGCTTAATTGTGGTCTTAAAATGCAGGAGGCCAGTATAATTAGGGCAGGGCAAAACATGAAGTCTAACTTGGATGAAATGTTGTTTGTGAAATACAGAACCAGCTTTTTGCTTTCCTGGATGTACTTATGTGAACTGAAGCTTTTTATTTTTATAGGGTTTAATTATTCTCTGTGCTTAATGAAGAAGTAACAATACCGGGAAGGAACTTGCATTCTCATAGAGCAAACTGTATAGCTATCACGCAGACTGGTATAATATTATTTCTCCTTTGTGCAACATTAATAGTGGGTTTAGGGCCTTTCTACGTGAAGGATACATGGTTCCTGTCGCAAAGAGCTTCCAGTCTTGCTACACAAAGATATTGCCTTGAGTGGTATTTTATAGTCCTGAGGGTAACGGATTAAGGTAGTCTGGTGAAATGAAGAGTGAGATTAGAATAGCAAAAATAAACCAGCAGTCCAGTCCTCTTTCAGGATGCTGCTGCTTGATAAAGGGCTGTAGAAAAACATGTTTTATCTCCATTGCTTGTGGAATGGCCTTGGGATCAAATTTCTTATAACATAATTAACCAGGAATATAATGAGGCTGCAGGATAAAATATGTGCCACAAACAGCACAGAGGATTTCCCTCCACTACCTTTTGGTTAAGCATTAGGGAACTTTAAGGGTTTGTATGTAGAGAGGAGCAGTTTTCTTCCTAGTTCACATCAACGTTAGACTTACTCCCAACCACAGGCTAAACCCAATGTAAATTTAAAGGCCTTTTCCTGCCTGGTATCAGCAATTGGTGATTCACTTTGCAGGGAACAGACAAAACCTCACATAACTAGGCCCTCTCTCTGCCTTTACTCTCTGTCTTTTTCCACATAACAGCAGGAAAGACTGGTTGCCACACACCAAGCCAGAAATACCCATAATTAATAACAATAATGATATTTTCACTTGAAGTTCCTAAAGTATTTTATCTTCAGAAGCCAAACAGAACCCAGTGGCTGAACTGGGGATTGAATTAGAGAGCTCTTGACTTCTGTTTTCTTGCCCCAACAACAGGGCAAAAGGCTTATATCAGTGACAATAAATTGTTTCTGATATGTTGTACAATACAACAGAGTAAGATAGACTCATCAGTAGCCCTCCAAATACCTGTGTATTTCATACCTGATTTGGTATTACTGAAGTGAGCACATGTTTGTTAAAGGAGGAAGGTGATATGTGCTTTACCCTCAAACCTATTAACATGCTGACTATGCTAAATGTTGCCACAAGGTGGCAGATGAAGACCTTTGAGGCAGTGTTTCCAAATAATCTAACAGCAACTAGAATCAAGTTAAATATTTTAGTCCTGTTTTAACTTTGTATAGGAATGTTTGGATTTGAGCTCATAATATTTCCAATCGAACCACATACTTCATAAAATATATCGAGTTCCAGAGCTCAAAGTGGTGGATAACTCCTTAACTACTCTACCGGCTGCTCTTTCCTGTGTCATCTTGGATGCTTGTTTGTGTATCAGAATAGGAAGATGCAGATATCCTACCAGGTAGAAATCTCAACATCTTGCACTACACCTATACATTTTCTTCCAAAATCTTACATCCTGAACCTAAACACTGGGTTATAGCTAATTTAGGACTCTAGTCCGCATTTATGATCTCAAAATATTACCGTATCTCTACATACAATGAACACATGCAGCACAGTCTGTTATGATTCCTGCTATTTTGCCAACCTCAGTGTATGGAAAGTGTTACTGGATTTGAGCTTCTGCCATAAAAATAATCTGTGTACAAACAGAACATGCAGAAATTCACCCATGTTTCTTCTAAAGCGTACATATAGCAAGCCACCTCTTCAGTTAAGACACAAGCACTGTGGTTTCTCATTCTATGTACTACACTGAAACATTAGACAATATCTCAATGTGCAGCATAGTTGCATAACAGCCACTGAGTGCCACAGGCCAATTCTGAATGCTTGAGAACCATCAGGACTTGAACATGGTAACAAGCCACAATCACATGTGTTTTCAACAGAGACAGTAAGACAGGGGTGGGCAAAATATGGCCTACAGGCCGGATCTGGCCCACCAAGGGATTTTACCCAACCTGAAGCAGGACCCTTAGCCCTGCCTGGACCAGGCTTGGGGGGCAACCTGAGTTGTGGCACATGCAGCTGGTCCCACTGGCCCCAGGCACACAGCAGGCCTGGGGCAGCACAATGGCTAGACTCTGCTTCTCTGTAGCAGTGACTCCTTCTGGCTGTTGCTGCCAGTGTCACCACTGTCACTGGCCCAGGCCCCACTATGTGGACACCCTGGCTGGTCAGCCCCACCCCCACCACTGGGGGCACCAGTACAGAGTGGGTGAGTTAGGGTCTCCATGGGGACCAACCCCGGACCCCCATGGGCAGGGCATTCTTAACCAGGCAGGTGGGATGGGGCCCTGGGTGAGTGGGGAGCGGCATCTGGGAGCAGGGCAGGCAGGTGGGAGCAGGGCAGGCATCACAGGGTGGTGATAGTATGGGGCCAGGGCCAGAGCAGAGCCAAAATCTGCTCTCCGCATGACAGATCGTGACTGGCCCAACCTGGTGGGGGAGGGCATGGAGCGTATACCCATGACCCAGTCGCTGCTGCTCCCACCCCAACATGGGCATGCACGGACAGCCATAGTACTGCACAGCTGCAGAGCAGTGCAGGATGGCCAAATCCCACCCTCCCACAACAGCTCACCAAAACTCCCTAAGTGGCCCTCCACCCAAATAATTACCCACCCCTTTTTGTTAAGCAAATAAGAGAAGCTGTTAGCAATGATTGGTCATTACTCATCCCTTCCCATGTTAATGATCCATTCAAAGTCAAGGACAATGTAGGGGTGACGGATTTGCCAAACAATTGTCTAAACAGGCTGATGCACACAAACAATTCCACATCCATTGGCTCAAGGTCTGGCTGTTTCATACAGCGAAGATACTGGTAGGAAGAAGTTAAGCGTATTTAAGTCCACCAACTCTCCATTTAACCCTTTTTCAGATTTCAGCTTTATAAACTTGAACAGGGCAGACATCTGGTGATGAATCTGGTGCCATGTGCTTTCTTGAGTTATAGAAATGTCAGCAGATCATGGACTGAGGTCAGCTTCTCAGACATCTGAGAATAGAATTAAGCCTTTATTAAGTGACTACATTTGATGTTGATCAGTCTCAGTATTCTTGAGCTCTTTTCCACTTTGTCATTTTCCTTTCAGGAAAATCATGCTTAGATCCACTTGGATTTTCTGACTGACATTTGCTACACATTAAAAATTTCCAGCTCTGTGTGTGAGAGTTGGTCAAGTACCCAAAGGAACTGCTAACAACTTTTATGTATTTTTTTATTGTTGGTCTTTTTCTCCCTTTCTGTAGATCCTGACAGCAAGTGGAGATGGGACTTGTGCCCTTTGGGATGTTGAGAGTGGACAGCTTCTGCAGAGTTTTCATGGGCATGGGGCAGATGTTTTATGTCTGGATCTGGCTCCTTCTGAAACAGGAAATACATTTGTTTCTGGGGTAAGTGAGATATTTTATTTTGTGATGGAAAACCAAGGAATGAGGAATGGGAAAAGGAAGGATACATAATAAAAAGGGAGATTCATGATCTTGTTAAACCTGGTATTAGATTCATTGCCGGCACATTTTCAGGCTGGATCAAATTAATTCTCTTACTATGGGGCCAGACCCAACCCATCACACTGACTGTGGCTCTGCTTAATTTGCAAGTACCACCCTACATTAATTGATGTAGCACATGATCAAAAGCATCCACAGAGATGAGAAAAGACAATTAAAAGTGCATGTGGTGAAGGTGCACCTTTTAGAAGGTGATTGAAGCCTTTCCTTGATTAATTATTACATTCTTACCTCAGATTCTATTACATTGCAACATCCTTTTGCACTTGGATCCTTCCTTCTCTATTCACTCACTTCCTACTGGGTGCATGTAAGAGAATGCTCAGTTCGCCTTCTTGGTCAGTATGTGATGCCTGTATTAGGGGTGTGCAAAGCGGGCCGTATTCAGTTCAGATACAGCCCAATTCGGGGGACAGTGATTTGATTCGTTGATTTGGATCACTGTCCCGATTCGATTCAGCTGAATACGAAACTGATTCGATTCTGATTCGGAGAATCAACGATTTGGCCATAGACACAGATTTAAATGTTTTTGTTACATACCTCAAGGTACTAGGTGAGGCTCATGAGTGCTGAGATGGTGGAGCGGATGGAGCGTCCCACAGGAGCACAGGGAGGCCCCCCGCCTGCTTGGCGGCAGACCTGGAAATGGACCATGGCATACTTTTGGTCCACTTCCGGGTCCATCGCTGAGCACATAGGGGACCCTCCCCGCGCCCCCCAGCTCAGTGAATGGCCATGGGAGACCCCAGCTGCTCCTCCAGACCCAGGAGGCACCAGTCGCTGAGCCAGGGGGAGGGGGAGGGTACATCACACGCTCTGCGGCAGACCCAGAAGTGGCCCGGAATTGCTTCTGGTCCACTTTCAGGTCTGCCACCAAGCACACTGGAGACCCCCGTGCCGCCGCCCCCCCCCCGGCGCTTCCATGGGACACTCCATCCACCCCACCATCTCAGCATTCACGAGCCACCTGGTACCTTGAAGTATGTAGAAAAAACATAAAGCTGTGTCCATGTCCAAATCGTTGAATCTCCCCAAATCGATTAGGAGGGTTCTGATTCAATTCAGAGAGATTAAAGGGTCTCATGATTTGATTCGGAGATTCGGCTGCCGAATCAGGCCAAATGTTTGCCAAATTGAATCAGCAACTGAAGCTTCACACAGCCCTAACCTGTATCACTTCTTGCTAAACTCCTTCCCAGAAGCCTGAGGATAGCTTGGGGGCTGTGTTAGCCACTGCACAAGCAGTATTTATTACAAGGTGCAGGGCCAAATCCTCAGTGCAGGGCCAAAGCACTATTTATTACAAGGTGTAGGGCCAAATCCTCAATGCTGTCTGCCCCCAGCAGCACCAAGGGCACAGCAGGCCTGCCTGCTTCTTACCTTGGCCCAGAGGTGACAGGACTGTAATGGCAACACACACTTTGTGTGCCTCCTGATGGTGTCTCTCAGGGAACAGGCAAGAGAACTACAGGAGGAGGTGGTAAGGCTCCAAAGGCGATCATCAATTCTATGCTGGAGGAGACCTCCAGGACTGTGGAGGAAGACACAGTGCTAGAGACACAGCACTAGAGAAGAGAGAGGACATGGACACCCAAGAGGGTGGAAGCTGGAAGCTTGTGACTTCTAGCAGCAAGCAGAGATCTTCACCCTCACCTACAGTCATTCATCTAGAGAACAGATATGCAGCCCTAGCAGCAGAGAGGGAGGAAAGGAGCACGTTCCATTGGTGGTAAAAGACAGGCCAGGCCTTACCAAAGTAGGAAAGATCAAGATGACTGTCACCAAGAAGCGATGGCTGGTGGTGGTTGGCAACTCCCTTCTGTGGGGGCAGAGGGAAACATCTGCCAGCCTGACCTGTTGTCTCGGGAGGTCTGCTGGTTGCCTGGAGCCCAGATCTGAGATGTCATGGAAGGATTACTGAGGTTCATCTGGCCCTCTGACTACTATTCCATGCTGCTCATCCATGTGGGCACCAATGATACTGCCAGGGGGGACTCTGAATGTATCAAGAGTGACTACAGGGCTCTGTGTACAGTTAACTCAAGTTGGCTGGCCTGCCAGGGGGTGTAAGCTAATGCTCAGGTAGCTCAACTCATCAGCCGCTAACAAGACTCCTCAGCAGGATGGATGGAGCCTAACTCCACCTGAGTGCTTGTAGTGCCCCAGTGTTTTCCCACAATTCTCCTCTTGTACCCAGAAAGGCTAGACATGTTCCCCCCGCAACTCATTGGGAAAGAATCATAGAGCATTTCCCTTTACTGCAGTGCAGAGAATTTTGGGATATACCCGGAGACATCATTGTGCCATTCAAGAGTGCGCAGTGCTGGTGTGGATGTGGCTGCTCTTGAGCAAGGTTAACTCAAGGGAAATAGCCCAAGGGCTAAAAAAAAAAAAGCATTCAAGTTAACCTTTCAGTGAAGACTAGGCCAACCCTAATTTGATTCTGATATAGCTACAGCCTCTTAGCATGTGTGATTAATTTATACAGGTTTCCCTTGCTTTATGCTGTACATGCGTTCCTGGAAAACAGCACAAAACTCAAATTCACATAAAGGGTACCCACTTTACAATGTAACAAATAGGGATACGTTCCAAGTCCTAGACTGTACTGACCCCCAGACCCATTTCTACCACTTTTACAAGACAATTGTGGTACTTACCAACAGCAGACAGTACGCACAAGCACAGGGCACTATCATAATGGGGATGGCAACTACAGAAACACGTGTTGCAGACAACGAGCAAAGAGTGCAAATCCACACAGGAGACTATATTTTGGTGCTTGTTACTCCCACAGTGTACCACACAAAGCAGCTGACTGCAGGCTTCCACCACACCAACCGCATAAGAGCGAATTTACCTTGCATATAACGAATTTTTGGTATAAAAATGGTCATCGTATAAGAGTGAATGCGCACGTACAGAAGCCGCATAAATTGAGGGAAACCCGTACTGGTATATAGGAGCTTATAGCAGCATAGCTATTCCTGTGAATCAGGTAAATAAGATTACACAAGTAGAGCCTGTGTTGCACCTATTTTAACTGTCTAGCTAAAAATTACATCCCTAAATGAGAGGGTCAAATTTGTACCTAAGTTTTGAGTGGCAAGGCCTTCATATCACTTTTACTGCTCCCTCAGAGTTATGCCAAGCCTGTCTTCAAGACCTCTCAGGCCTGAGCCCTCAGCGTGCAGTCAGTACTTAACTCCCTCTGAATACCATTACAATAAATCTCTTGCCTTATTTGGAGCACATTGGATAGCTTTTCTTAAAGATCCTTCCTCCACATGGATAAATCACCATACTGTCCTGTCAAGAACTTCATACTTCAAGCGCCAGACTGAGTATTGTGCACCTTCCAGTGGAGTACCAAGGGTCCCTGGCACCCAGGGGCCAATGCCTCCATTTGTATGCCCCTCCAGGACAATCCAAACAGTGTGCGAGGCTGAGGCAAATCAGCCTGTGCAGGGCCCGGCTCCCACCCCACGGTACATCCATGGGGGAATTACCAGCACAGCACACCAGCTGTGGATGGAGGGGTGCCAGCTGGCATTTCCAGCTGGAACAGCAGAAGTCCACAACCTGCCAGGCAAGTGGGTGGGCCACACAGCAAATGCGGGAGGCTCCGGCCAACACCTGGGGGCCATGGCCCCCTACCACCCTCTGTCGGTACGCCACTGTGCACCTCAAAGTCCCATAGGAGTGATTAGTATCCAAAGAATGCAGCACTGGGCACAGGATAATGGATGGGCTTTGGAAACTAATACATTGACTCTCCTTCCAATCTATTTCCATATCTTGGAAGAAGAGCCAGTAGTTGGTAATTCAGTACAAGAAGAAATGTTTCTTTTTTTAAATAATGACATCATAAGTAAAAATATATATATTTTAATTGCATAAGAGATTTGAGAGAGGGAGCTGGATCACGAGGAGACTTTAGTTTAGCCAGCAATTATGTCTCCTTTAAAAATAAATAATGCATATGCAATGGTCTACTGAGGAGGAATGCATTAGATAAGCATGAATAGCAGCAGCCTTAGCCTGTAATATGTTCACCATGTTCCTCTGGTGGCTGCAGGGACCTGAAGAGAAAGGCAAGTGCCTCCATTGGCTAGCATGTAGACTAATTACTGCCCCCTTTTTTATCATGTCCCAATTTTCATAGTTTTAATCGTTGCCTTCCCCACCCCATAAAAGAAAATCTGGGGGGCAGGTTACTTGACACTGATATTAAAAATTTTCATTATTAATATTAAAAAGTACTTGGAGACCCCCAACTTGTATTAAACCTGATTATACTAAGAACTGCATATAAATTGTGTATATGCACACAAATATACATTCATGTATATTTGTGTCCATATGCATGCATGTGCACAGATGCAGGCACGCACACACGAAGAGATGGTCCCCACTCTGAAGTGCTTGGAATCTAAATAATGAGAGACAAAAACTGGGATAGAGAGAGGTGAGCTGACAGGTAGATCCCAGGTCACAGCAGGTTAGTGGCAGGAATGAGATTCCCAGTCCAGTACTTTACCATGAGATGGTTGTGAGCCTGATCATATGAAGTGCGGGGTACTCTTAGGAGGGATTAGGTATTTTCAGTGGAAGTTGTGAAGGTACGTTGCATCTCCTTGCAATATTCAACCAAGTTAGAAAAATAGCTTCTTCCCACAAAACCACCCTCAAGTTTCGGCCTCCTAAAGCATCTTAAAGACTTAAAGGACAAAGAAATATGACAATAAAAATAAAACATTAAATACATTTTCAAAAGATGATCTCAAAGCAAGTTGAAAAATTCTTCATGCTCTCTTTCTGTCACTGCTATGTTTAATACCAAACTGCAGTTAATCAAATAAAATAAGAGCCATAAAGGGGGTTAAACCTGGAAAAGTGGAGTTGATGCAATTATTTCATTTTCTAGCTCAGTGTATTTACAGTGCACTATAAAACTTTAAATGGCAGATACTAATTTTTTATATTGAACATGTTAAGTGATGAATGAGTCAGACAACTTTAGTGACTCACTGCATATCACAGAATATGACTATGGAAATAGCATTAGGACAGCAGAGCACCACAAAGTGGTTTTTAGTGTTTGATGAAATGGCGGCAGCCTGCATTGACACCCCTGGGTTGGGTCTACAAAATAATTTACTTCCACCTCCTGCTATTTTACTGCATCTGCCCTGTTGGCAGCACCAAAATGAGTACTGGTCTACAGTGGCCAAGTGGCCACTGAGGATTTAATCATCGTGTTGTGCAGTCCTCTCAGTTCTGGTTGCCTTGGTTTTAGGGCCTATGTTATGAAAATATTTGTGGCTTGGTTTTTCATGATGGGGAGTACCTGCAGCTCCCTCTGACACTGAATGGAGCTGTGGGAGCTCACAAATCAGAAAATTAAACCCTAGAGGTTTCTAACACTTGGCACCCAAAATCAGAAGCCCCTTTTGAGAATGTGAACCCACGTGTCTTGCAAAAGGCTGCTCGGCACTAAACCCAAGCTTAGAACTTGATAGAAACTGTCTCCCTGCATGATGCTCAACCCATCAGTGCTGCCCCTGACGAGAAGGGAAACCCACTTTGCCGTGCAGTGTAATGAGTAAGCCTTAAACCCTTTCTGTTTATTTAACTGGTGTTCACAATAAGAGGATGTTTCCTGTGCGGAAAAAAGGAAGGACATAAATGGGACAAAGGCTGAAAAAAGATATGTAAAGCAATTTTAATTAAAGCATAGTTTTGTTTCCTGTAATGGTTTGACAACTCCTTTTATAGACAGTGAAGGAGAATGTTATATAGATTTGGTTACATTTTTTAGTCCAGAAAACATCTGCAAGGTTCTTCTGTATAATTTCACTTCATTTGTATCTGTGAGATACCTAAGAAAATCTCAAAGGGACTGTGGCCCAGCTCCTGTAGGAGTATTTAATACTATCATTGAATTGTGGTGTGAACCAAAGTACCGGCATCTCCCTTTACTCAAACACGTGTGCAGAACAAGTAGCGAGTGGTGCTGGCTGTAAGGTTTGCCTCTGCGATTTTTTGTTTTCTGAATATAATGCTCTCAAAATCTGGAGCTTCTTTGCTAGAGTTATCCTACTAGGAGCTGTGATGTTCCAGGTGCTAAGAGTTAGTTGGGACTCGGTGGGTGCTTTGGCCACATGCAGGGGGGAATTTTAGTGCAAGACCTAATAGGGGTATGTGTATAATCAAAATGATTTTTTTTGTTTTTAGGGGTGTGACAAGAAAGCAATGGTTTGGGACATGCGATCTGGTCAGTGTATCCAGTCCTTTGAAACCCATGAATCTGACATCAACAGTGTCAGGTCAGTGTATTCCTGGCAAAGTACATTGACATTGTTTTCATGTGAAGCTCTATATTAATTTAATTTTTAAATTCAACCTTATCTGAATACCATAACATACTATATTTTTTCTCCACACAGGTACTACCCAAGTGGAGATGCTTTTGCCTCTGGTTCAGATGATGCCACAGTACGTTCATTCAGCAAAATCACTCACAATTGTTATTTCTCAAGTCAGAAATCTTAAGAGTAAGGAGCCAAATTCACAGGGGCTAAACTGGGCCCAAGACATCATACTAATGTATGACTATAGGGGAATTCTTTCAGTCATCTTTGATGGCCTTTGGAAGGCTTTTGGTTTGAATGGTTTCTGTATGAGGCCTTCCAGCATTGCATATGGTAGATAAACCTGAGAGGAACAGCCACTACATGAGGTTTTCCAGATTTGTTGTAAATCTGTCAAAATTTACAACAAAATGTCATTAATCTCCCAGCCCTCTTTAACCTACCAGCTAAACTTATAGTTGCATCCATTTGCCGAAGCGAACCAAATTTATATTGTTTGAGTTGCTGTGTTTTGTGGCACGTGATGGAGTCCTGCTAAAAATGTATCCCTAAAATTATCCCCCTGACACTTCCATTTCAGATTGTTCTTCGTTCTTGGGGACTGCTACAACTACACGCATTCCCCACTTCAGCCACTCTAGAGTCTGTCCCAGATCAACTGCTGTGGCCATATGACAGAGAGCATGAGTCAGAAGGGTTTGTGCCCAAGTCACCTTGTGCAGGGCCAGTCTCCCTGCACTGTATCTAATCTACACAGGGCTGCAGCAATCACAAGGATCCAAAAACACAGGCAAGTTTTAGAATTGAGCCAGCCGGGCAGCGAAGATGAGTGATAGCATAGGACTTACCGTGTCAGCCCTGCACCAACTTAGGATTCACCCTTAGTTAGGCTGGAACTGTTTCCTGTGGGCTGTTTAGGTGGCTTTAAAACCAAAATTCACAGGGAATGCATTGCAGTGCACCCCTGTATCACTGGGCCTTCTGACCCCCCAGCTAAGAAATATTCTAGATTCATAGATGTCAGGGTCGGAAGGGACCTCAATAGATCATCGAGTCCAACCCCCTGCATAGG